TAAAAACTGGCATGTGTCACTGCAAATGAGGGTCTAGAGTCAACTAATTGAGGTCATGTGTGAGCAGCGTTTTACCACTTCACTCTGCGACTTTGGTGACTAAAACCCAATAGAGGTTTGTGTGTATGTGAGATTGATGCTCTAAAAGACATACATTTGTATGTCCTGGTAGCTATCTATGTATAGGCCAGTTTATAATGAGAAGTGTGCCAGGAGTTAAATCTGGCATGGCTTCCTGTCAAGTATTATTCTCTGGTTCCACAGTAGCTAATGTGTGGTCACATTTTTCCCCGGGCACACACACTGATTTATAAGAAACCCATATCATAATGTATGGGGAATGTGCCGGAAATTTCCTAAATGTGCAGGAATTTCAAGCAAAATGTAAGATATTTCCAGCACAACTTGCTCATGTGCAGGAAGAATAATAATTATAAGGAAGCTGTAAATTCTTCCTGCACATATAAAAAATATGGGGGTTTTGCAGGAATATTTCCTACACTTTTTCATTTCTTCCTGCACTTATTAAAATTCTTTTCTGAATGTGCAGGAAGTTTTTCCGTAAAATGACATGGGTTTCTTCAGTTTATACCCTCACTTGAAAAAGTTTAACTCAGTTTGTTGGTTTTGTGTTGGTAAGTATGCACGAGCAAGTTATACATGTCAGTAACTAAATGATTATGTAGCTCGCATTAAAGCACCATGCACGAGTAATCTGCCTGTCTGTTTCCCATTGCCATTCCCTTTATAGCCTCTATGCATTGCTTCCTTCCTTAGAGTAGAATTTGCATCCTCCCTCACTCTCTCCAAGCTTTCATCAGTACAAACTTTCCACCCACAGTTATACACCCCCACCCACCTGTTGTTGTGATACACAGCATCTAGATTGGTCTGCGGCCGGCCCACTTTGGATGAGAACTACTTTTTCGAAAGCCCTATAAATGCTTTAAGCCAAGTGGCATAAAACATCCACCAACATGCTCTCTTTACAACCACTAAAAACTGGCATGTACGTACCACTGCAAAGTAGGGTCAAGAGGGTCATGTGTGAGCGGCACAAAATTCGTTTTACCACGTCACTCTGCAACTTAAACCCAAGAGAGGTTTGCTTGTAAGTGAGACTGATGCTCTAAAAGGCATACATTTGTATGTTGTAGGCCAGTTTATGTTGCTAAATGAGAAGTGTGTCAGGAGTTCATTAGTGAGTTAAATCTGGCATGGCTTCCTATCAAGTATTTTTCTCTGGTTCGACAGTAGCTAATGTGCAGTCATGCATTTTTACCAGGCACACACTAATTTCATGGTTATGTGGTGGTAAATATGCACAAGCAAGTTATAATTATATGTCTGTAACTAAAATGATTATGTAGCTCGCATTAAACCACCTATTATGCACCTCATCACATGAACTACCTATGCACTGCATTTCAGGCACCAGTAATCTGCCTATCGTTTCCCATTGCTATTCCCTTTTTAGACTCTCTATGCATTGCTAAGAGTAGTTGCATCCTCCCTCTCTCCAAGCTTTCTTCAGAGAACACAGCCCTCTGTCTGACCATGATAAGATAAGCATTCTCTACCCCACTTTTTCATGTCTTGTGTTGTATTTTCAAACCCCTACTGAGCTACCTGCTGAGTTGCCCTGGTAACTCAGTTGATACAGCACTCACCTGCAGTGCAGAGTGGTTTGGGTTCCTAGGAAGGCTCTGTTATCCTTGGAACTAATGCCCTGCATTGATCATTAGATAGCACCCCACTTTGGCATCTTCACACTCCCCCCCCTTTTGCTCCATCACCCCCTTTCTGTTGTGTTGTCCTTTTTGAACCTCTACCTACCGGCTGAGTTGCCCTGGTTGCTCTGTTGGTAGAACACAGCGTCACAGCTCACCTACAGTGCAGAGTGCCGTGCATTCAAGTCCCACGTAGGGCAGCTCTTGGTGTCCTGCATCGCTGACATTATGTTGTTTAGTTAGCCTTTGCCTCGAGACCTCATTGTTGATACACTGGCATCTTTTACCCTGAACAGTGTCTGAAGTAAAAGTTCAGGTTCCAATTTTCTGAAATAGCTACTCAGCACTTTCATGTAAAAATTTTGAGAAACTGGATGACAAATTTATGTGCCTTTTATTTTTTTTTACCCACATTTTTCAGGGTTCACATACGTATTTGTCTCACTTATGTAGTATGGATAGTATTACGTACATTGTCCCAAATTTATGAACCATGACCAAACTTTTCTACATTTTTACCAAAAGAGAAATATTTTGGGGAAAAGTCCTATAGAAGTGGCCTTGCCTTAATCTCTGCCACAAGTGGGAAGGGGGGTTACTATGGTGACACGCCACATAATACACAGCGCAGAGCCTTAGTGTCTGACCATAATAGGACTGGCATTCTCTTCCCCCACTTTGGCTCAATGTAAATTAACCTATACACTTCCTTATGCATGCACATACTTTAGCTCTTCTCTGCCTTTGGGACGAGAATTCTCTGCCCCCCTTGGGTCAATGTTATCCCTGCAAGTGGGACAAGGAAAGTTACTATTGTGACACCCCCCTAGAGGGTTGAAACACAACTCACAACCTTTGTATGTCTGACCATGATAGGACGAGAATTCTCTGCCCCCCTTGGGTCAATGTTATCCCTGCAAGTGGGACAAGGAAAGTTACTATTGTGACAACTCCCTAAAGGGTCAAAACACAGCTAGGAGGCCTTGATGTCTGACCATGATAGGACTGGCATTCTCTGCCCCCCACTTCCCTGTTCCTTATATAATAAACCAATGGACTTCCTATATGAATACATCTACCATTATCTCTTCAGACAAACCCTGAAACTTTTCACCAAAGTTGAAGGTAGTTACTATGGTGATACCCAATTATACATAGCAAAAGTGTTTGGCCATGATAGGTATGCAGCCCACTTCAGATGAGAGCTACATATACAGCTTCCATAGCTGGCATAATACCTCACACGTGCTCTCTTTACAACGACTAAAACTGGCATGTGCAACTGCAAAGGAGGGTCGGCAAAGGTCGACAAATTGAGGTCATGTGTGAGTAGCAAATTTTTTTTATCCACCTAGGTGAAAGCAAGCCAAAGAGTGGTTTGTGCATACGTGAGATTGATGCTCTAAAACATATACATTGTATATCCTTTTAGCTACCTTTTAAAGGGAAACTATATGGCTCAAGTATGCCAGGAATTCATTAGTAAATTACATCCAGCTTGGCTTTCAGTATAGTAATTAATATTTTCTAGTTCCACAATAGCTAATGTGCAGTCACATGCATTTTACAGGGATGCACAATAACTAAATTACTTGGTTTTGTGGGTGTAAATATGCATGAGCAACTTACATCAGTAAGTATAATATGTGGCTCTCATGCAACCGACTAACTGCATCACATCCAGTCATCTGCCTGTCATTTCCGTTGCATTTTTGGACTCCCTATGCATTGCTTCCTAATAGTAGTTGCATCCCAACCCAGGCTCAGATGTCATCAGTATTATACAAACTTTCCACCCACAGTTTACACAAGTGGAAAAGAAAGCACAGAGTGCCCAGATGGTGCTTCATCATTTACTGGCAGTATAAACTACACATCAAGTTACTAAGTGTACCAGTCAGGGGAGAAATATTGTCTTCAATCTTGTCTTCAACTAAATATACACTTTTAAACACCCAGAGCTGTCCAACGCCTGAAACGAGGCATTTCACTTTTTGACTCATGCATACACATAGCTCGCGCCTTCAGACCGGATATATGCCTAGTGGACGGTGGACAAAAGGCTAGAGTAAATGTGGTGTATAATAATTATATGTGTGAGAAAGACAGTGCAAGAGGAATTAAACATACAATGTTTGCTATCTTGTAAATAACAGAGTGGTTCAAAGATTCAGTAGGTCAGTTGGGATCCAAGTTCATCGATAACTCACGGAACTATAGTCCGCACATAATTCATTTAACTTTGTACGCTCTCACACAATTGTACATTTGTAAAAGTGCGAATTCAAACACTAGGTGCAACCTGGAACGAGACACACTCCCTCCTCATCTTCAGAGTGCCATCCAGACTGTCACCTGGAACGTGATACACTCCCTCCTTGTCTCCAGAGTGACACCTAGATGTCACCTGGAACGAGACATTTTGCTGTGCCAAGCTCTGCCACACTCAGCAACCTGGCTGGTCTTCTCGCTCCAGCTCTGAGTTCCGTTGATGACGCATTCTCGTACTTTTGTTTCCAGAGCATGCATAGGATATGGAAGAGTACTATGCCACGGACAGCTTTTTCCAAACAATCACATATGCTCATGTATTGTACACAGACCACTGAAAACTTTATACCCAGGTACTTTAGTGCATGTGCATTTTTAATGTTTCACGTGGCACGATAAGTATATACTATGGAAATCCGCACACTAAATGAGGAGTACACACAAAAGCCAGGTAAATGTTTGGACACACACACCGACAGATAAAAGTCACATTACTCTCAACTCTTGCTCTTCACATCCTGCATCCTTCCACGGCACATTCCACCAGACTTTTTTTGTTCTTTCTCTTAATTAAGGCCCATAATTACTGTCTGTGTGCTTACAAAGTTCAGCGAATTTTGCATGTGTAGCTACAAAGATCCGTGAATTACATAACATAGATCTCCATTGACATGATATAAACATTCTCATTGCTTTCATCTTCATCAGTACACAGCCTCATCTCGATGTCATCACTGGTTGGAGGAGAAATCTCTTTCCTGAACCATGGTGGATAGTTCCAGGAACAGCATGCGTTGAACGGACCACATCCAGCACCATCCCAGAGAGGATCGTCTCCATAGAAGATGAACTGGTAACGATTTGCACAGCCGGTGTCACAGAAATAATCATCTCCGATAAAGCCAGGTACTGAAGGAGGTGGTGTGTTGCGAGTGTTAGTGCAAGGGCATACATCATCTGGATGAGCATTGTACTCATGAAGAGCTGCAACAATGTCCAAATGTGTTGGCGAGGACTTTTTCCATGAGTTAAGCTGATTCCATCAACATAATTTGAATCAATATTATGAGAAATAGTTGGCCTGAATGCATCTGGAGACCCCTGCTGGTATCCAATGATCTTGCCGCATACTCGACTGTATTCTACTCCTTGTACCGGCAGCACAACTGAGGAGCATACACCAACATCTATGTTCTTAGCACACAGTCTGCGGGGACTAGTGAGGGTCCTCAGACCAGATGGGCAGGTACTGCCAGTTTTAGTCATGTCGATAGAGGCCAGCCTCATCCAGCCTCCAGCTACACCATTGCAGCTCCTCTCCATGTCACAGTACATGTGTTTGGGTTTGTTGTCAGTTCCACTGATCCAGTAGAGACCTGAGGGAGACTGTGGGGCCAGCTGGAGGATCTCCTTGCAGGAACAGGCAGGGTGACTGGGTGTATGGCCAGGGACAAGCAGAAGAGAGACCTTTGATACTAAATTCTTAACGGTTTCCTTTATTTCAGCTAGGTCGGCAGCATTGGCGTCGGTGGTGTTTGCAGGGCAACCAGTAACATTCGGGAGATTTGAGGTACCGACACAGACTGCTGCATAATGAACCAGCAATATGGTGGCGAAGGCAGCATAGTAAGTCATTATGCAGCTACTTCAAAAAATTGGCTGTGTAGTCACAATTGGGCAGAATTTATAATTTAGCTGTTTTATACACAGCAGAGAGCTGAACATGATAAGACTGTCACCCACTTGGCTAATGCTCCCTATGGTATCCGTACACTCTTACAATTCCACCCATAACTTACACAAGCGAAATGTACTGGGTCCCCCCTGCACAGAACACAGCACTATGTCTGACCATGATAAATTTGCATTCTCTACCCCCACTTTCGCATGTTTTGTGTTGTATTTTCGAACCCCTACTGGGCTACCTGCTGAGTTGCCCTGGTAGCTAACTCGGTTGACATAGCACTCACCTGTAGTGCAGTGTTTTGAATTCCTATGAAGGCTCTGTTTTTTGTGGAAATGTCCTGCAGTGATGATAGGATTGATCCCCAATTATGGCTAATGTCATCTACACACTTGCGTTCCACCCACAGTTTATACAGTGGAACGTTGAGTAAGTAAGTATGGTGGTGCCCCAATCCGAACACAGAACTGATATGAGAGCATTTTCTACCCCCACTTTTGCTCTATGCTCAGTTTGTAGAGCATCACAGTCAGTGCAGTGCAGAGTGTTGTCAATTCGAATCCCACCTGGGGCAGCTCTTTTTTCCTTGGAAATAAGTGTCCTGCATAGCTAACATTGTTTTGTTTAGTTAGTCTTTGCCCATTGTTCATACTCAGGCATCTTTTACCCTGAACAGTGTCTGAAGTAAAAGTCCCGTTTCCAAATTTCAGATTTTCGTGTAATACTCAGCACTTTCGTGTCATTTTTCTTAACAAAAAAAGTATGGGCACTTTTTACCACAATATCCACACACGGTTCAGAAGTTGTTACCCACCATTTTTCAGGGTTCAATTGTCACGATTATAGTATTACTCATTCCCAAATTAATTTTAATGAACCGTGTCTCTAAAGCCCACTATCAAACTTTTCTATATTTGCCGAAATGTACCTTTTCTCAAAGGAAAACATTTTTTAGAAATAAGAAACGGAATTTAAATTGAGAGACTGTTCCTATAGAAGTGACCTTACCCTAAGGCTCAGCTGCCACAGTTCATTCAAGTGGGAAGGGGAGTTTCTATGGTGACACCCCAGGAGGTACACAGCACAGAGCCTCAGTGACTGACCGAGATACTATCTGTCTCTGCCCTCCTTTGGCTCAATGTTTATCTCTGCAAGTTGGAAGGGAAGTTTTCTATTGTGACAACCCCCTGCAGCTCAGAGCCTCGATGTCTGACCATGATAATATTTCTCTGCCTCTGTCCCCCTAGGCCTCTGTCTCATGTTATCGCTGCAGGTGGGACATGTGTCACCCCCCCCTAGAAGGGTGAAAAAGCTCAGAGCCTTAGTGTCTGACAATAATAGGACTGGCATTCTCTGCCCCCCCCCCACTTCCTGTTCCTTATATAAACTTATGGACTTCCTATATGAATACATCTACCATTATCTCTTCAGACAAACCCTGAACCTTTCACCACACTTTTAAAGTTGAAGGTAGTTACTATGGTGATACCCAATTATACAAAAGTGTTTGGCCATGATAGGTATGCAGCCCACTTCGGATGAGAGCTATTTACAGCTTCCATAGCTGGCACAATACCTATGCACATGCTCTTTTTACAACGACTAAAACTGGCATGTGCAACTGCAAAGGAGGGTCGGCAAAGGTTGACAAATTGAGGTCATGTGTGAGCAGCATACACTTTTTTTACCACCTAGGTGAAAGCAAGAAAAAGAGAGGTTTGTGCATACGTGAGATTGATGCTCTAAAACGCATACATTGTATATCCTTGTAGCTATCTTTTATTGGAAACGATACGGCTAAAGAAGAAGTATGCCAGGAATTCATTAGTAAATTGCATCCAGCTTGGCTTTCTGTATAGTAATTAATATTTTATAGTTCCACAATAGCTAATGCGTAGTCACATGCCTTTTACCAGGATGCACAATAACTAAATTACTTGGTTTTGTGAGTGTAAATATGCATGAGCAACTTACATCAATGAAAAGCACTGAAGTGCAAACCCTCGGCGCACTGTGATGCGCGCGCGTAGTAAACGCATGCGCCGTACCACTAATTGATGGGCTGGGTTTAGTTTTAGCTGTTACTCGTGGTCTCTTGCTAGCTCGCGCAGAGTCTGACGCGGGCTAACTACACTACTAGATAGCATGCGAGAGGCGATACACGCCCTGCGTTGCATCTTCTGGTGCCTCATAGGTAAGCAAGCACGCTGATCGATCACGCCGTATAAGGAGCCGTTTGTTTTGCATATTGGCTTTTTCCCGTTTCTAGCTTTTGCAACGGAGCGGTTTTCAGAGAAAACGCCTTTATTTTCTGACTTCATTGCCCGTTAAGTATGGGGAATCCTTTGTGAACCTAAAGACAACTCGAGAAGTGAGATGAAAGTAACAGCCGACCAACAAACACATACACTGCAACCCTCGCTGCGTATCGCGCCGCGGTATAAGTATAATATGGATCTCATGCCACCTAACACTGCATCACATCAAGTCATCTGGCCTCTCATTTCCGTTGCATTTTTTGACTCCCTATGCATTGCATCCTAATAGTAGTTGCATCCCACACCCAGGCTCAGATGTCATCAGTATTAATACAAACTTTCCACCCACAGTTTACACAAGTGGATAGAAAGCACAGAGTGCCCAGTTCTGTGCATGTTGCCGATTGCCTCAGATAGTGCTTCATCATTACTGGCAGTATATAAACTACACATCAAGTTGCTAGTGTAACCAGTCAGGGGAGAAATATTGTCTTCAATCTTGTCCTTCGACTAAATATACACTTTAAACCACCAAGAGCTGCCAACGCCTGAAACGAGGCCTTTCACTTTTTGGACTCATGCGTACACATAGCTCGCGCCTTCGACGATATATGCCTAGGTGGACGGTGACAAAAGCTAGAGTAAATGTGGTGTATAATAATTATATGTGTGAGAAGACAGTGCAAGAGGAATTAAACATACAATGTTTGCTATCTGTAATAACAGAGTGGTTCAAAGATTCTGTAGGTCAGTTGGGATCCAAGTTCATCAATAACTCACGGAACTATAGTCCGCACATACTTCATTTAACTTTGTACGCTCTCACACATTGTACATTTGTAAAAGTGCAAATTCAAACACTAGGTGCAACCTGGAACGAGACACACTCCCTCCTCATCTTCAGAGTGCCACCCAGACTGTCACTTGGAACGTGATGCACTCCCTCCTCGTCTTCAGAGTGGCACCCAGACTGTAGCCTAGAACATGATGCACTCCCTCCTCGTCTGCAGAGTGGTACCCAGACTGTCACCTGCAACGAGACATTTGCCGTGCCAAAGCTCTGCCAACGCTCAGCAACTGGCTGGTCTTAGGCATTTCCCTCGCTCCAAGCTCTGAGTTCTGTTGAGGACGCATTCTCGTACTTTTGTTTCCAGAGCAGGCATAGGATATGGAAGAGTACTATGCCACAGACAGCTTTTTCCAAACAATCACATATGCTCATATTGTACACAGACCACTGAAAACTTTATACCCAGACATTTTAGTGCATGTGCATTTTTAATGTTTCACCGTGGCACGATAAGTATATACTATGGAAATCCGCACACTGAATGAGGAGTAAACACAAAAGCCAGGTAAATGTTGGACACACAGACACATAAAAGTCGCATCACTCTCAACTCTTGCTCTTCACATCCTGCATCCTTCCACGGCACATTCCACCAGACTTTTTTTGTCTCTTTCTCTGATTAAAGCCATAATTACTGTCTGTGTGCTTTCAAAGTTCAGCGAATTTTGCATGTGTAGCTACAAAGTTCCGTGAATTACATGACATAGATCTCCATTGACCTAATATAAACATTCTCATTGCTTTCATCTTCATCAGTACACAGCCTCATCTCATGTCATCACTGGTTGGAGGAGAGATCTCTCTTCCTGAACCATGGTGGAGAGTTCCAGTCACAGCAGGTGTTGTACTCACCACATCCAGCTCCATCCCAGAGTAACGATTTGCACAGCCGTGTCACAGAAGTAATCATCTCCGATAAGCCAGGTACTGAAGGAGGTGGTGTGTTGCGAATGTTAGTACAAGGGCACACATTATGTGTATGAGAATTGTACTCATGAAGACTGCAACGAATTTCCAAATGTGTTGGCGAGGACTTTTTTCCATGAGTTAAGCTGATTCAATAAACATAATTTGATTACGAGAAAGAGTTGGTCTGAATGCATCTGGAGACCCCTGCTGGTATCCAATGATCTTGCCGCATATATACTCGACTGTATTCTACTCCTTGTACCGGCAGCACAACTGAGGAGCATCCACCACCATCAATGTTCTTAGTACACAGTCTACGGGGACTAATGAGGGTCCTCAGACCAGATGGACAGTTACTGTCATTTTTAGTCATGTCGATCGAGGCCAGCCTCATCCAGCCTCCAGCTACACCTTTGCAGCTCCTCTCCATGTCACAGTACATGTGTTTGGGTTTGTTGTTAGTTCCACTGATCCAGTAGAGACCTGAGGGAGACTGTGGGGCCAGCTGGAGGATCTCGTTGCAGGAGTAGGCAGGGTGACTAGGTGTATGGCCGGGACAAGCAGGAGAGAGACCTTTGATAGCAGATGATCCGTAACGGATTTTATATTTTTTAACAGTTTCATTCATTGCAGCTAGATCGGCAGAATTTGAAGGGCAACCAGCGGGGCAACCACAAACATCGGCAGATTTGAGGTACCAACACAATGCTAATTTAATTAGCATTGTCTACCCCGACTTTTCCATGTTGTGTTGTATTTTTCGAACCCCTACTGAGCTACCTGCTGAGTTGCCCTGGTAGCTAACTCGTTGATATAGTGTAGTGCAGTTTTTTTGGATTCCTAGGAAGGCTCTGTTTTCCTTGGAAATGCATTAAGATGATCATGATAAGATTGCATTCCACTTCAGCTAATGTCCATATCTCATCTGCACACTTGTATGGGACACTACAAAAGCTGGACTCTGGACCACGGACTGGATTATGGACGGATTATGGACTGGCTTTATAATTGCCTCCAGTCTAGGCCGTTCATCAGAGAAAGGTGCTGGCTATGTAACTACGCCAGTCTACCTGAACCAGGTTACCATGTCCTACACTGACTACGCCTGATGCAGTTCAAAACTTGGCCAAGATGAAGAACCTGCAGCCATCTCAGGGGCAGTCCCTAGCGTTTACTATGACAGTTATTGTGTCAGATTTTAGACTATCCAAAAAGTGCCATCTCTGTCTATTCGGTCATTTGAAAACTAGCAATAAAATTTGAGCAACAAGATGACAAATTTGCAAACCTTATGTTTGATGGGCACTTTTTACTACAATACCAACACAATTATTTGTTACCCAGTTTCACAAATTGAAAGTCCAAAATGAACCACATCCTCTAAAAAACGGTTTTGAATTCAAAATTACAAACAGGAACTTTAAGTTCACACTCTGCTTCTCTGGACCCTAGGCTCAGCTGCCACTGTTTATTCAAGTGGGAAGGGGAGTTTCTGTGGACATAGTACACAGCACAGAGCCTCGGTGACTGACCATGATATTCTCTACCTCTACCCCCCTTTGGCTCAATGTTATCTCTGTAAGATGGGAAGTTTCTATTGTGACACAACCCCCTGCAGCTTTAGTGTCTGACCATGATAGGACTGCCTCTACCCCCCTCTGTCTCAATGTTATCACTGCAAGTGGGACAAGGGTAGTAACTATTGTGACATCCCCTAGAAGGGTAAAACACAGCTCATATATAGCCTTAGTGTCTGACGATGATAGGACTGGCATTCTCTGCCACAACCCATTGTTGTGATATACACATCATCTTACAGCCCACTTTCAATGAGAGCTACATTTCCAAAGCTCTATAGGTACTTAAAACCAAGTGGCATAAAACATATCCACCAACATGCTCTCTTTACAACCACTAAAAACTGGCATGTATCACTGCAAAGGAGGGTCTATAGAGTGAACTAATTGAGGTCATGTGTGAGCAGCATTTTACCACTTCACTCTGCGACTTTGGTGACTAAAACCCAAGAAAGGTTTGTGTGTATGTGAGATTGATGCTCTAAAAGACGTACATTTGTATATTCTGGTAGCTATCTATGTACAGGCCAGTTTATTTTGCTATTAATGAGAAGTGTGCCAGGAATTCATTAACGAGTTAAATCTGGCATAGCTTCCTGTCAAGTATTGTTCTCTGGTTCCACAGTAGCTAATGTGTGGTCACATTTTTCCCCGGGCCCATACTCTCATTTATAAGAAACCCATATCATAATGTATGGGGAATGTGCCGGAAAAATGTATGGTTGTGCCCCCCCCCCCCCCCCGCACAGAACACAGCACTATGTCTGACCATGATAAAATTAGCATTCTCTACCCCCACTTTTGCATGTCTTGTGTTGTATTTTCGAACCCCGACTGAGCTACCTGCTGAGTTGCCCTGGTAGCTAACTCGGTTGATATAGCACTCACCCGTAGTGCAGTGTTTTGAATTCCTATGAAGGCTCTATTTTTTGTGGAAATTTCACACTCACAACCATACATTTTTCCGGCACATTCCCCATACATTATGATATGGGTTTCTTATGAATGAGAGTGTGTGCCCGGGGAAAAATGTGACCACACATTAGCTACTGTGGAACCAGAGAATGATACTTGACAGGAAGCCATGCCAGATTTACAAAACACCACAGAGCCTCCCTTTGGCTCAATGTTATCTCTGCAAGTTTGAAGGGAAGTTACTAGTATGTTGGACAAGGGTAGTTACTATTGTGACACCCCCCTAGAAGGGTGAAACACAGCTCAGAGCCTTAGTGTCTGACCACGATAGCACTGGCATTCTCTACCCCCACTTTTGTTCAATGTTACCAACACACTGAATTTATGCACTTCCTACATGCATGAATCATGCGCTTTATCTCTTCAGACAAACCCTGAAATCTTTCACCAACACTTTTAAAGTTGAAGAGAGCTACTATGGTGACACCCCATTATAGGTACATTGCAAAGTGTTCAACCATGATAGGTATGCAGCCCACTTTGGATGAGAGCTACATAGTACAAAGCAGACTGGCATAATATAATAGTCCAAGTATTTTCTAGTATAGCGTATGTCCAAATACATTACATTATAACTCATGTCTATCCCGCATACGTATTGTATCACTCATGTCATCGTCATCTTCATGCACATAAATCACCCGCACATGCACACAGAGTTGAATAAATCCAGAGTGCGAGAGGAGAATGTGTTTACATAATGCAGTCACACCTACAACAACTAAAAACTGGTGTGTGCAACTGCAAAGGAGGGTGGCAAAAGTCAACTAATTGAGGTCATGTGTGAGTGGCATTCTACTGTACTTCGTTTTTACCTCTGTACTCCACGACTTTCATGACTAGATGAAAGTTAAAACCCGAGAGGTTTGTGCATTGATACTCTAAAAGACATATGTCCTCTATAATTATAGTCCAGTTTATGAGGCTGAATGAGAAGTATGCCAGGAATTCATTAGTGAATTTCATCCGGTTTGGCTTCCAGTCAAACCCTTTCTGGGCCCACAGTAGCTGATGAGCAGTCACATACATTTTTACTGGTGGGTGCACACTAACTCGATTTCTTGGTTTTGTTGTGGTAAATATATACGCTTGAGCAAGATGCAGCTGTAATGAATATGTAGCTCTCATCAAGGTAACCTACCACTTCACCAGTCATCTGCCTGTCATTTCCTGTTGCAATTCCTCCATTTTTAGACTGCTATGCATTAATTGCTTCCTAATAGTGGTTACACCCCCCATTTAGGCTCAGATGTCATCAGTACAAACTTTCTACCCACAGTTTATACAAGTGGAAAGGAAAGCGCAGAGGTGCCCAGTTTGTGCTGTTGCTTCATCATTAAGTTACTGGCGGTAGAAACTACATATCAAATTCTCATGTAATATGTTATTTCTAGATCAGGCATAGGCCGTGTAATACTTTGTCCTAGAGGTGGCACAGACAGCTTTTCTGAACAATCACATACGCTTATGTTTAGTACACAGACAACTGAAAACCCACTGTGAACCCAGATAATTTAGGGCATGTGCATTTTTAATGTTGCACATGGCACGATAAGCACTACCGAAATACACACACTGTGAATGAGAACAGACAATTTGGTAAACACAAAGGCCAGGTAAATGTTGGACAGACCGACACATAAAAGTCACATCACTCTCCATTCTGGCTACCCTGTGTCAATTAAATGGCCCATTCTACCAGGCTTTTTCCTCGTACGTTTACGGTTACAACAAAATTGCATAATAACTGTGTGTGTGCAAAGTTTTTCTAGAGTTTCATGAATTACTGAACATAGATCTCTATTGACCTAATATAAACATTCTCATTGCTTTCATCTTCATCAGTGCAGAGCCTCATCTCAATGTCATCACTGGTTGGAGGAGAGATCTCTTTCCTGAACCATGGTGGATAGTTCCATGAACAACATGTACTTGAACGGACCACATCCAGCACCATCCCAGAGAGGATCGTCTCCATAGAAGATGTTTTGATACATATTCTCACTGCCAGTGTCACAAAAGTAGTCATGACCAACGAAGCTAGGTGGTGTTGGTTGTGAAGTGACGCGAATATTAGTACAAGGGCAAGTTTGAGTTGAATCAGAATTATATTCATGAAGTGCTGCAGCAAATGTCCATATGTGATTGCGAGGTGTTCCATGTGTTAAACTGACACCATCAACATAAGCGGCATTGATATTGTTATATATTGGACCTGCTGTGACTCTAGTAAAAGCATCCGTAGAGTATTGTTGGTACCCAATGATTTTACCGCACACTTGAGAGTACTCTATTCCCTGCACTGAGAACACAGTTGAGGAACATCCAGAGCCAGTAGTGGTTTTACCACACATCCTTTGAGGACTGGTAATGGTTGTCAGACCAGATGGACAGATGCTGCCAGTTTTAGTCATGTCGATAGAGGCCACCCTCATCCAACCTCCAGCTACACCTTTGCAGCTCCTCTCCATGTCACAGTACATGTGTTTGGGTTTGTTGTCAGTTCCACTGATCCAGTAGAGACCTGAGGGAGACTGTGGGGCCAGCTGGAGGATCTCCTTGCAGGAACAGGCAGGGTGACTAGGTGTATGGCCAGGGACAAGCAGAAGAGAGACCTTTGATACTAAATTCTTAACAGTTTCATTCATTGCAGCTAGATCGGCGGCATTTGCAGGGCAACCAGCAGGGCAACCAGAAACATTCTGGAGATTTGAGATACCGACGCAGACTGCTGCATAATGTACCAGCAATATGGTGGCGATGGCAGCATAGGAAGTCATTATGCAGCTACTTCAAAAAATTGGCTGTGTAGTCACAATTGGCAAGGATGTTTTTATACAGGGACAGAGCTGATCGTGATAAGACTGCCACCACCCACTTTTAGCTTATGGCATCTGTACACTCTTACCATTACTGGGTCCCCCCTGCACAGAACACAGCACTATGTCTGACCGTGATAAATTAGCATTCTCTACCCCCACTTTTTCATGTCTTGTGTTGCATTTTCGAACCCCTACTGAGCTACCTACCTGCTGAGTTGCCCTGGTAACACAGCGTGTAGTGCAGTGTTTTGGATTCCAGGAATGGCCGACATAACATTGCACCCCACTTTAGGTAATGCACTTATACTGGTCCACCCACTGTTATACAGTGGTATATATTATGGTGGTGCCCCAACCAGAATGTAGCACTGATAATGGTATCTTTTCTACCCCCCACTTTTGCTCTATGGCCCTCTTTGTGATATGTTGTATTATGCGTGCCGTAGTTTTGAGCCCTAGCTACCTGCTTGGTTACCCTGGTAGCTCAGTTTGTAGAGCACTCACAGTCAGTGCAGAGTGTCCTCGATTTGAATCCAACCTATATAGGGCAGCTCTTTTTTCAAGTGTCCTGCATAGCTAACATTCATTAGCCTTTGCCCATTGTTGATACTCAGACATCTTTTACCCTGAAAAGCATTTGAAATACTCCGCATTTTCATGTCATTTTGCTTTTGCCAAAATGTATATACTTTTCTCAAAGAAAAACATTTTTTTAAGGAACGGAAATTTTAATTGAGACACTGTTCCTATATATGGAAGTGACCTTACCCTAGGCTCAGCTGCCACAGTTCATTCAAGTGGGAAGGGGAGTTTCTATGGTGACACCCCATAAAGTCAGCACAGAGCCTCAGTGACTGACCAAGATATTATCTGCCTCTGCCCCCCTTTAGCTCGATGTTATCTCTGCAAGTTGGAAGATAAGTTTCTATGGTGACAACCCCCTGCAGCTCAGAGCCTTTAGTGTCTGACTGTGTATATTCTGCCTCTGCCTCCTCTGTCTCAATGTTATCCCAGCAAGTGGAACAAGGGAAGTTACTATTGTGACACCCCCTAGAAGTGTGAAATACAGCTCAGCGCCGTGTCTGACCACGATAGGGCTGACATTCTCTACCCCCACTTTGGCTCAATTTATCCCTGCAAGTGGGACAATGGTAGTGACTATTGTGACACCGCTTGTGAAACACAGCTCAGAGCCTGACCATGATGGGACTGGTATTCACTGCCTGCATGACTAGGTCAGAAAGCTAAAACCCAAGAGGTTTGTGCATATATGCGATTGGTGCTCTAAAAGACATTGTGTCCTGGTATTTACTGGGCCAATTTATGCAGCTATATAAATGAGAAGTATGCTAGGAATTCATTAGTGAATGAGTTCCTGTAAAATATTCTCTGGTTCCACATTAGCTAATGTACAGGGAGCACAACTCCATTCTACCACTGCATCACATGCACAATTCATCTTCTTGTCAGTTCTCGTTGCCTTTTTGAGTTACGGACTCTCTGCTTCCTAATGCATCCCCCCACCCTAGCTCTGATGTCATCAGCACAAACTTCCACCCACAGTTTATACAGTGGAAATGACAGTGAAGAGGTGCCCTATCAATTCTGTGCATGTTGTTGAAGTCCCAGATCGTGATTATCATTAACTGGCTATCATGTTGAGTCAAAGGAGAAAATCAGTTTTCAACCATCCACACATATAATTATGTGACCCTGTACACATGAAACAAGGCATTTGGCTTTTTGACTCTTATGTACACGTGGGCCGGGAGTGGGTCATTTAACAAAATCTCTAGAGTGTTAGTCATTCCAGACTTTCACACAGACCAACAATTTTGTATGGGGTACTTTTCGTGGGAAAAGCTGGGTACGTTCCTCGCATCCTCGGGAGAACAACTGGATAGTGGTTAATGACAAGTAGCTATGCGGCTAGTCAGTCACTTGGCTAGATGACGGCGAAGATGAAGAGATGTGCAGCGAGAGAGTCTGTGTGAGAGTAACAGGAGTCCTCTGGAGGAGGGAGAGGGTGTGTCTCTGTGGCAGACTCAGCAGAGCCACCAACTCCTGTCGTAGAACCTCCAGCGACGGCAGTTTCGCAACCTCCTCAGGGGTAAACAGCTGGTCCAACACCTTCCCTCCCAGTATGCACAGCCGCGGCTCCGACTTGATACACGACAGCAAACTACTAGTCTGGTCCAAGTTTCCGTACACTAAGGCCGTGCTCCCCTTGAAGAGAGGAGCGAGGTTCTGGCACAGAGTATCGTCCAGTGCCCGGGATAGGTGCAACGAGATACATTCCATACTCCAACTTTAGCACAGAGCTGATCCTGAAAAGACTGCCACCACCCACTTTGGCTAATCTCCTCTCACAATTCCACACATGTACTGGGTCCCCCCTGCACAGAACACAGCCCTATGTCTGACCATGATCACTAAGTACGGTGTACTTAGTATATAGGGATTGACATGGTACCTGCTATCATAGATGTATGGGGCTATGATAGGGAGTTTGTTCATCTTCTCCTTCTTTCTTTCTTCAGATTGAACTCGCGTAACTCAAAAACAAAATAACATATAGTAATGAAATTTTGTAAGAATGTAGATATCCATCAACCGACGAGACTGGTCAACTTATTTCTTTGTAAACAACATGGTTTACTGTAAACAAATAGCCCCAGGCAATACATTATAATGGGATCACATGTGTCAGTATAACTCACAAATGGAAGGAGCTATGTGAACGAAACTTTGTAGACATAATGTATTCAATCACCAACATTAAAACCACAACAATACATGTTTGTAAACAACAACAAATAGCCTCAGGCACTTTTCTTTAAATTTACTTCTTCCCTCCGCAAACCCTCCAATGGTAGAGATGAAACTTGGTAAGTATGCCTATATATCATTTCCATGATGATTACATGTTTCCATGACGACCGCATTTTGTTTGAAAAAGCCTCAGGCAATTATCTTTACACTTCTTCACTCCTCAAACTTGCTAACTGTAGCACGCATGGAGGTGAAACTTGGTGCGCATGTGTATTACATCATGGAGATGTGGTTAATGAAAAGATTTGAGTACGCTGACACCCCCAACCCCATCACACAATCCCTATATTGTTGCCCTAGGTGAAGTATTAAACGTTCACCATTACAATACTCAGAACTTGCAATACACTACTTAGTAACTAACACCCTTATAGAGTCCAAATGGAGTTTAATAAAAGGGAATGTGGGAGTATAAATGTTACTATGAATGTGCACGTGCATATTTTGCCCTACTGACTGCGCACGCGAAGCCAGACTTCCTACGAATCTGCGCGCACGGCGGAAGCTAGACTTCTTACGAATGACAGAAGTTACACTTCCTGTTGGTGACTAATTGACATTCCTAAGCGTAACTAATTATTGACGACGTCCGTGCGTACGTACGTACGTATATCGCAACCTGGAGTAGTTGCTAATGCGCTCGGCAACTAAAAACAACAGGGACATGGTGAAAGAATGCTTGCTTTTAGTAACCTTTAGCCCCTATAAGAGTAGCACACCAGACAACAATATAGGGATTGTGTGATGGGGTTGGGGGTGTCCCATGATAGGTATGCAGCCCACTTCGGATGAGAGCTATATACAGCTTCCATAGCTGGCATAATACATATGCACGTGCTCTCTTTACAACGACTAAAACTGGCATGTGCAACTGCAAAGGAGGGTCGGCAAAGTTCGACAAATTGAGGTCCTAGGTGAAAGCAAGCCAAAGAGAGGTTTGTGCATACGTGAGATTGATGCTCTAAAACACATACATTGTATATCTTTGTAGTTATCTTTATAGGGCACTTATACGGCTAAATAAGAAGTATGGCAGGAATTCATTAGTAAATTACATCCAGTTTGGCTTCCTGTCAAATAATAATTAAATTTTCTAGTTCCACAATAGTCACATGCGTTTTACTGGGACACACTCTAACTCAATTTCTTGGTTTTGTGGGTGTAAATATGCATGAGCAACTTACATCAATAAGTATAATAATATTATATGGCTCTCATGCAACCTAACACTGCATCACATCCAGTCATCTGCCTGTCATTTCCGTTGCATTTTTAGACTCCCTATGCATTGCTTCCTAATAGTAGTTGCATCCCCCACCCAGGCTCAGATGTCATCAGTATATATACAAACTTTCCACCCACAGTTTACACAAGTGGAAAAGAAAGTGCAGAGTGCCCAGTTCTGTGCATGTTGTTGATTGCCTCAGATAGTGATTTGCATGCTTCATCATTAATTTACTGGCAGTATATATAAACTACACATCAAGTTGCTAAGTGTACCAGTCAGGGGGAGCAAACCTGTCTTCAATCTTGTCTTCGACTAAACATACACTTTTCAACCATCTATACTACAAAGAAACTTATGTGATCCTGTACGCCTGAAACCAGGCATTTGACTTTTTGACTCTTGCGTACACATGGCTCGCCTTCGGACCAGATATATGCCTAGGTGGACGGTCGACAAGAAACTGAGAGTAAATGTGGTGTATAATAATTATGTGTGTGAGAAAGACAGTGCAAGAGGGAGAGTTGTAGAAAATTAAACATCCAATATTTGCTATCTTGTAAATAACAGAATTGTGGAGTGGTTCAAAGATTCTGTAGGTCAGTTGGGATCCAAGTTCATCAATAACTCACGGAACTATAGTCCGCACATAATTCATTTACCTTTGTACGCACTCACACAATTGGACATTTGTAAATGTGCGCATAGGATCTAAATCACAATTCAAACACTAGGTGCGACCTGGAACGAGACACACTCC